TTGTTGGCTGGTGATAGCTTGATAGCTCTGAGACTTAACCCCTGCGCCTCCAGGGAGGCCCTGTGCCTCCACTATTCTTTAGCTCACACCCTGCCTTTCCACCATTATTTGTTTCCTTCTTCCCAGAGTGATACACTTTTAGCATACTCCAGCAGCCAGGGAAGTCAGGAGCCCAAGAAATTGCCACCAAAGATTTAATTGCCTCAATTTTCTGTTGTTGGAGGGAACTAAAAGTATTTGCTCAACCTTGCAAGCTTGCTTGAAAATAAAATGAGTTTATAAATGTTGAGTTCTTTAAATAAAGGACATTTTACACGTGGTTATTTCAGTCTCTCTCATCCACTAGTTTCATGTGTCTAAGAATCTCTTGGTATGCTTATTAAAATGCAGACTGATGGCTGACTCCATAAGCTTTAAGTTTGGCTCAAAAAAATAAAAAGGCAGGTACACCGGCTAATTCAGAAAGCAGAGGTGAGAGCCAAGGAAGCTGCATTTTAAACAAGCATTCCAGGTTATTCTTATGTAAGAGAGAAAAAAAATACAATCAGACACAATTAACGAGGAGAGAAGGACCTCCATCAGCCCTCTAAGTCCCCCCACCCCTTACATCCTTTCCTGATTCAGCCAATGTACGCACTCGCTTCTCTTTTTCTCCACCCCATCCTCCTTTGTGTCTGGCACTGGCATTTTCTTAGCATAGTTAGAGGGGCGCTCAGTTTTAGTTTAACATGCCGCAATGGAGTGGAGAGAAAGGAGGAGGGACATGGGTGGAGAAAGGCTAGATCGGTGTTTAGTTATTCTGTGAAGACTGTTGTTGTCGGGCTGGTTCTAGCCGGCTGGCTCCGGGAGAGGAAGCAGTGGAGAGAGCTAGATTTACTGCAGCTGCTGCTACTGTTCCTTATTTGCGAGTGTAGGTTCGGAGGGAAGATACCCACCTTTTCTCTAGTCACATGAATTTTACAGCAATCACGTGAGATTCCACAAAGAATTTTAGGTACTGCTAACAATCCTGAATTTATTTCTGAATTTATTCTCCTCCTTACTACTTCGTGACCTTGAGTTTTGATCAAATCCTTGCTTATTCCCTTGTCTTAAAATGCAGGAAGAAAAGATTTGCACTGGATGCTGTCTATGGGGTACTTTTTGCTTGACATGCAATTTAGAATTTATTTTTGTTTCATGAATGAATTTTGTTTTTCTGGCCGATGTAGATATACATGGTTGTACAAAAGTAGAATCAGACGGGGATTGATTGGACTAGGGCAACTTTTTGGGAAGAGATTGTGTTTTATCAATTCCTTTTACCTGCTTCCCCCTAGTCCTTTATATTATCTAGCAAGAACTTTGAAAATGACTCTTGTTGCAAATCTAGCTATCATATTCTAACCACTAAATCCAACTGATCATGAAATGCTCATACAATTGATTCATACAGTGGTAAAATTTCAACATGGCAAAATATATTGTTAATTCTTAACATTCTGTTGTCTAAACTTTGGTCTTCAGCTTGGCTGCATTTTAGAATTCCTTGGAGAAAAAAACACTGATGCCTGGACCCCAACACCAGACAATCTGATTTAATCAATTAAAAAAAGAGTGTGTCTCAGAATAAGAGCAAAAATTTGTTCTTGGTTCAAGCAAAGGGTACGCTTCAATTTTCTTTCGAAGACATTGCTCTTCTGTGAGTTTGGTTTCACACTTAGAAACTGAGTACCATAAATATGTATATTTGTACTATTAACACATATCTAAAGCCTGCATGACTTCTGCTTGATATTTGACTATTTTGATATCCGTTTTGTATAAGAATAGGCAGTATTTATCGATGTAGTGCATTAGATTTGAGTTGTCTCATTAATCCTATAATTTGATTAGTTAATCTTCATTTTGCTGATGAGAAAACTGAAGCTTACAGAAGTTAAGCAAAAATCTCATGTCACTGGTAAATCAAGCTGGATTTCCGATCAGATTCATGTGACTCTCGAGATGCTGAGTTACTATAAATCTTCCTAAGAGATTCGACTGACCCCGAGCCTTCTGAAAAACATTAATTTATTGGTTAAAAATGAGTGGCACACACTTAAACCCATAAGGGCTACTTCTGAGCACATTGCTTCTCAAAGGAAATATGGATCATACCTGTCCAAACATGTCATCCATGTTTAAAAAGATTATAAATGAATCTAAGAAGCTGAATCTTTGTGGCTTTTGCTGAAAATAATTCTGTTCCATTATTACTTCATATAAAAATATGAAGTATGAATTTGATCATTATTCATATAATGATAATCTTAGCTTTTTTTCAAATGGTTTTGGGGTTTTTTATGACTAGTTTAATTGAAAAGCAGTGCTATTGTATGCCTTTTGAATTTCAGAGGACATGTCTGGCACATAGTGACACTACATTGAATAAGATACTGCCTTTTATTTGATGCTTTTTAAAAAAGATTTATTTATTTATACATACAAGAACTGGGGTACAGGCTAGAGGTGTGGGGGGTGAGAGGATTCACCAAGACTCTGCCATTTTTGAGAAAGACAAGTTCTCCCTGGTGGCACAGAATCTTAAAAGTCTCAGCACTATGATGCTATCCTCAATCACTGCTGCACACCAGTTTGATCCCTGGCCAGGGAGCTGACCCACATGGCACAGCAGACCTCTCCTGTCACGCCCGCTGCTCCCCTCCCCACTCTGTCTCTGGTGAATCCTCTCACCCCCTACCCCACCCAACTCCTGCACCTCTGGCCTGTACCCCAGTTCTTGTATGCATAAATAAATAAATCTTTAATAAATAAATAAATCTTTAAAAAAAAGAAAATAAAGGCAAGTGGTGAATTAATAACCTATCCATAGTTTTGCCAATTCAAGCTGCTTTTTCTGAGAGGTGCATGGTTATCAGTGGGAATGAAGGCTAAACTAGGTAATACTGATCATTTCCTAGGCAAACCATGGAATCTTTTCCCTATTGTCCATTTCCCTATGTATCTCTCCCCAGATTTTCGTAGTGTTACTATCTCTGATCTGTTTTCCTTGACCACAAAATGCTTGTCTTATTTATGTTCCAGGAGACTGTTTAGTAGACGTAGAAGCAACATTTTAGTTATGTAAAATTTCCCCACTTTCTTGAAACAGTATATCTTCTAGCACATTTGTTCCTCTAAAAGTATCCTTTGTAAAAATAATTCAGTATCCTAGGTTATTCTGAGTGGCATAACATATCATAATAGTAAATATACCAGCACTTGCTTTGTGCCGGGCTTTATATTAATACCTATTAACTCATTTACTCTGTAGAGCAAGTCAATGAAATGGTTCATTATTTTTGTTTTTATAACATTTTTAGTTAAAGTATTTTTAGTTAACTTTTAGAGTAGGTGAAGAAGATACAGAGCACTTGAGGTGGGTGGAACTGTCCACTTCAGAATTACCACCCCAGGTTATGCTTTATTTTTAAAAACTCAGTTCCCTGAGAGAAATCAAGAAAAACAAAAAACAGCCCAAAGGTTTGGGAAAAGAAAAGAGTGCTGAAAAGATTTTGTTGCCTGAGGTGAGGGTGGTGGAACCGACAAGAAGGCAAACTGTATCTCACATCGGATATCTTAATTGGTAATAAACAACTAAGGTTATTTGGATCTCCCATGTAAAGTAGCACGGCCATCTGTTGTCGTTGGCTTTATTCTTCACGATCTAGAAAAATTTGTTAGCAGAGTAGCAACGAACATACTCATGAGTTGGCCGATATGAATTTAATGAATTGAAAGTATTCATACTCTCTTCCTTCAAACCGTAATTGTAGTTTCAAACAATTTTAGTGTTTACAAAATGCTCCTCAGGATCTCATCTCATTCTCACAGCAATCTTGGAACATACTCTTGTCTTATCATCATAAAGACTCAAATGAAGCTCAGAAGCTCTTTCGCCCCAAGCTTCCCCCTGGTTTCTAAATGGCCGAGTTGGCCAAACCACACGACTCTGCCTAAATCTTTCAATCTGCCTAAATTTACGATGTACATCCATTTAAACAGTTGCCTCAGAATACAGAGGCATTGTCTTCCTTGCATACACGCGTGAGGACCTTATGGATATTAATGATCTTCCTCCCCAAATCTTGGCCTCTGGGAAGGAAGGTCCGCGGGCAGCGAGGACTTAGGTGGCCGCGGTCAGCAGCACCCCGGCGGCCGAGGCGGGGTGGGCTCGCGTCGGGGTTCACAGCGTGGATGAATGGGGCCTGAGGAGAGCCTGCGAGGGCCGGGAGGATGGACAACGGAAGGGATTGACCTCGCGGTTTCGAGTGGGGAACAAAACTCGCCCCCCACCCGTTTCTCTTCCACACCGAGGACGGTTTGGGGGCGGGTGGGGAAAGCGCGTCCTCGCTGCGCTCTCGCGCCCCCTCGGCCCGCCCCGCGCGCCCCCCGTCGCCTCTCCGCCGCCCACTGGCCGGCGAGGGCCGCGAGGGGGCCGCGGCGCCGGGAGGGCGGGTCCCAACGCAGGTGTCAGATCCGCTCGGCCGAGTTCGGCGGACTGACCCGGCTCCCCGCTCCGCCAGCCGCCGCCCGTCGCCCCCCGCCCGCCGTCCGTCGCCCCCCGCCCGCCGCCGCCGCCGCCGCGCCGAGAGGGCGGGGCCGGGGTGCGCGCGCGGCCTGTGCACGCGGCGGGCGGCGCGCGGCGCCTCGTCTGGGGGCGCGCGAGGCGGGCTCCGGCGGCGGCGCGCGCGCTGTGTGTGTGTGTGTGTGTGTGTGTGTGTGTGTGTGTGTGTGAGGGAGAGAGAGGGAGAGAGAGGGGGAGAGAGGGGGGGGGGGTCGCGCGCGCGCGCACGTCAGGCGAGTGAGGGAGCGAGGGAGCGAGGGAGCGAGGGGCGGCCGGGTGTGAGTGAGTGAGTGAGTGTGTGTGTGAGTGTGTGTGTGAATGAGGAGTGAGTGTGTGTGGGAGCAGGGGTGAGGGAGCGCCCGAGCGTCCGCTGGGCTGTGAGAAAGTGGGCGAGCGTGCGAGGGCGCCCGGCCTGGCTGCGGGAGCCGCGGCGACGGCGGAGAAAGGAGGCGGCTCCCGGCATCCCGGCCCCCTCCCCCCCGGCTCCCTCTCCCCCTTGCAGCCCGCCCGGCCGCCCTTCTCCGCCGGCTGCGAGCGAGGGAGGCGCCGCCCGAGCCAGGTGAGCGGGGCGTCGCGGCCCCCCCCCCGGGGTCGGGCGTGAGGCGGGGGCGCGCCCGCCCTCTCCCCGGCGGGCGAGCTCGGCGAGCGACCCTTCCGAGCCGCGGGGTCTCGGCCCGGGGAGGGGAGCGGGCTGTGCGCGCCCGGGAGCCGGGCTGGGGAAGGCCGGGGCGCCCCCCGAGGCTGAGGCGGTGGGCGGCGGGGCGGGCGGCGCCGGGGCTCGGGGGGCTGAGGCGGCGGGGGGCGCTGGGAGCGGTGGAGGGTGCCGAGCGCGGGTGACCGGGGGAGCTGTGGTTGGGCCGGCGGCGGCGACCGCGGGCCTGGAGGAGCCGGTGCCCCCCGCCGGCGAGGGGGTGTGGTGACCCCGGGAAGGCTTGTTGGAGGAGCCGGGCTGGTCCTCGAGCGTGTGGCGGGCTGCGCGGCCCCCGCGCCCAGCGGCCGGATTCCTGCGCTGTGGTCGCGGGAGGAGGCTGTGGTGCGGATCCCGCGGCGCTGACGTTTTCCATTGCAGGTTGGCCTCCTTACGCGTAAATTTTAGAGAGTGTGACACTCGTTCCTTTGACAGCCCGCTGCATGCGAATGGGAGGCCAAATCATTGCTTGCCTGGGTTTGATTTAAAAAAAAAATAATAATGTCCATGATGCAAATCTTACATGTCTCCCACCCTTCCCACTTAAAGCCCAGACGCCTGAATACAGAGGATGTAGTAATTTGTCTTTAATGTCTCCATATCTCGGACCACAGATTTGTAATCCCAGTAGTTTAATCCAACTTCTGTTTATGACTGGAGATGGGGCGTTCATTCTGGTTTCTGACTGGAGTTCTACTAACCGTGTTGACTGTGACTTCGATGAAAAGTCTTTCCGTTAGCTGTTGTCCCATCAAGTCCATGAATTGTTGCCACATCTTTGTGGAGTTGGGGTAACATCTTTCCAGGAAGTATATGGCCACCCACATATGGACAGTTTTCCTTTTTGGTGGGCTTGATCTATTTGTGGACCTTCTTAATTAACTGTAACCATTAGAATTAGAATGTTATTGAAGTCTCATTTCTTTCACAATTTGGGGTACTTTAAACTTCATTTCACCTGCTTTTTAAAAACTATTTGTAAAGTAATCCATGCCAACATACTTTAAAGATACTCTTGGAATAAAACACTCTCTGAAATTACAGTTATGTAAAATTCACGTTTATTTTCTAACATTTACTATGGAAAAACCTCCTTTATAGTGAATGCTATGTGTTACTTGGTCAGTTGCAAAGGGGAGGAGGCCTGTTTTGTTTTGAGACAATCTTTTGTTTATTCCTCTCTATCCTGTTAATTTTCTTCTTTCATGTCATAGATTTAGTTGTTAGTTTGGCAACATGGCTGTTGATGTTTTTCTCTGTCTCCCTTTTTTCTCTCTTGTCTTCTCTTACTCCCACTAGGTGCTGAGTCCGCTTGTCAGGGAGGGGGGCAGTCTGATTCTGAAAACAGACAAGAAGGGGAACGGCAAATTCAATCACATAGAATTCTCCACTCAGTCAAGAACCACTTTTTTCTTCCTGCTTTTCCCTCTGCAGGAGCTGAATAGTTAACCTTTTAGACTTTTGACTACCAGCTAAAATTCTAGTGGTCTTACTTTCTATGGCTTTTAAATTTTTGGTCATGTTTCCTTAGAGTTCCTATTGAATATAGTAGCATCTGGGGGGCGGGGGTGGGTAAAGGGGAGAGGGACAAAAAGAAATTATCCCCTTTTTCCTTTTTCCTCATTCAGTCCCCTTTCCTCTTCAGGGGGAAATTCCCAGCAGCATGGTACAAATCCTCTACCTTTTCTCAGCCATATTGTGAAGAAGCACAGAAGTGAACATTCTTTTGTCCCCTCACCAATGAACACCCATCAAGCTCCAGGCATTAGTTTCTTGGGGCACAGGATGAAACATATTTCCCAATTCTAACTTTCCCCCATATATATGCACCTGGGATTTGCTACTGGGGTATGTCACTAGATTGATTTCTGAAAATTCCTTCCTTCCCTTTGAACTGAAAGACACTGTGAACACTTGGATGGGATTGGGGAAAGGGGATAGAGTAGAGCACATTGTTCCACACTTTGGGAAGCAGGAGTAGCTTGTACCATATTCCTCTGGGGAGCAGGCATAGAGACCTAAACTGAGTGAAAATGGGTGGAGGAAGAACTTCTGTACCCTCGAACAACATGTGAAGAGTGAGAAAACCAAACTTAAAGTAAGGAGGGTGAGTTTTATTGTATGTTGCTTGCTGACAACTGCTTTGGGGGTGGCACTTGAGCAATTTGGCTCTTAGATTTTATGATCAGTTTACAGAGCATATTCTCTGCAGGTGGGATTAAGGTTTGAGTGTATAAAAAAAGCCTTTAGAAATTGTTATTTTAAAATCTGGAGGGTAGATTGTGATAGGAACATTCTTTTTAAATGTTAGTTTTACTGGTATGTGTAGTTGTTTCAGGAAAGGTTGAATAGAGGAGATTAGGTACAGATGTTGGGGAAATTGTATTTCATAACTTGGGGAATTTCCCTGCTTGTCATATTAAGGGTTGTTAAGAAATAATACAGTACCTTCAAAAATGTCTGCACGTACTGTATTTTAGATCCATGTGCCATATATATCAGTGTAAAGCTGTTAGGTTTACAGAAAAGGACAGATTTTCTGGCTTCATGGTAACTAGTGCCATGGTGTTATTTTTAATGCTTTCTTTTCCAGTGGGTTTTTTTGTGTGTTGTTTTTGTTTTTTTTTTTTTCGGTTTGTTTTGTTTTTTCTCCTTTCAAAATTGGCTTGGAGGACAAAAGCCACAGAGCTAGCCAGCTCTACTCCCTTTGAGCCTGGTCTGCATGGAACCCATCTGCTTATATCTACTTGTATCTTTTCTTCCTCTTGCTGAAATTTTTTCTTCCTCCTAACCTTAACTGTTAACAAAAGTCATTATTTTTAGGATCACTTGTATAATGATGATGAAAAGTAGCATTAGTTAGACTTGTGTTTGGTTTTTCTGTTTCTTTTTTCTAGAGGAACTGGAGAAAAATATTAATGTTTATTAATTAGCTACATTTAGATCTTACAGTGGAAGGTTTCCCTGGCATAATATTGAAAATAGCTATATGGAAAGTATAATTTGTGATTCATTATAACAAAATCCTTTAAAATAACTCAATTCTTAACTTTTGTCTGTCTCATGGCGTTTTTTATTGCCCAGTAGGTATAACAGGGAACATATGAATTCTGTCTTCATGGAGCTTACAGTCTAACTTCATTGACATTTCATCTTGTCAGTCAGCTCTCTCAATTTCTAGAGTGAATTGATGAATTGGCTAATCTGTATAACATTGTTATGCTTAATTAATTTTTACAACCTTTCTTTCAGAAGCAGTAGCCTATCATCTAGTAGTGACCCCCCACCAAAAATCGAAAGCCAAACTTAGCCCTTCAATAAATGTTTTTTCTTTTCAGCTCCTTACATTTCATTATGCTTCTCTTCTCCTTCCTCCCCCTTTGCTCCTTCTTAGTTTCATGTTTTTCTAAAATGAAATATGCATTTCCTGCATAACAGCAGACAATTTCTTTCTTACTTTTCTGCTGTCTCATGGCCAGCAACTTTTCAGACATCAGAAAACTACATCTTAAAAATTCATGCAGGTTTGCCCAAATAGCAACCTTGGAATTCTTCCCTGATATTTTAGCGTTCTCACTTGGTAGCTTATTCCTTTGACATGTGATTTAGTTAGCTGTACCTATAAAAGCTGAACCTTTGGTTTGAGTATATTAATAGCTCACCAACAATTTCCCACAAAAATTTGGAAGGATGTTCCAAGAGTTAACATGTTAAATATGATAAGCTTTCAGTTATACTATGCTTGCATCTCAGGAACATTTTTTCCACATTCCAGAGATAAACTTGATGTAACATTCCTCCATTAGACAAAATTATTGTACATTTTATTTGGAGCCCAGTGAAAACGTAACCACAACCACAGACTACTTTAGAAATTTTAGTAACTAAACTACAGGCATTTTAAGTGAAAGGTAACATTTTTGTGACCCTTCTGTTGCAAGTGTGTAAAATTTGCATGTTTATTTGCTCAGGGCATTACTTTTCCTTTTCCAGATTTCTCATTGTGGTAAAAAAACACAAACATAAAATTGATCATCTTAACCATTTTTAAGTACACAGTTTAGTGGTATTAAGTACATTTATATTGCTGTGTAGCCATCATCATATACATCTTAGAACTGTGAAACTGACATTATACATGGGTAAAGCAGTAGCTTTTCATTCCCCCAGTATCCTAGCCCCTGGCAACTACTATTCTCTATGAGTTTAACTAATTTTAGATACCGAAATAATGTCTTGAAGGTATCCATGGTGTAGCATGTATCAGAACTTAATTCCTTTTTATGGCTGTGTGTGTGTGTGTGTGTATGCGCGCGCATGTATGTATGTAATTTTTTTTTGCTTATTTTTTCAACTATTATCAACTTCTGTTGCTTTCCCCTTTCAACTATTGTGAATAAAATTGTTAAGAATATGGAGTAAAAATACCTTTACTTTCATTTGCATATATATCTAAAAGTGGATTTGTTGAATCATATAATTTTTTAGGATCCACCATATTGTTTTCCATACCTACCACACCATTTTTACTTTACCATTTGTATTTTGCAAACATTCCAGTTTCTCTACATCCTCCCAAAACTTAGTTTCCACTTGTTATTGATAGGAATGGTCCCAGTATGTGTGAGCATTTTCATGTTTTTGATTTTCATTTTCCTAATGTAGTGATGTGGACTGTCTTTTTAACATAAGATCATCTTTAAATTTATGAGAACTGGACTGGGACTATGTTTATTTTGCTTGCCACTGTATCTTTTGGGAGTGTGTAGTAGGTGCACAAATAATAATTGGCTGCATTATCTAATTGTGTAGCTTTATGTATTTAGTAGTTCTGTTAGATTTTTAGTATAACCAACATTATGACTAATTTTTGACTTTGAGTAGTTTGCTTTTTGTTGGGGGGTGGGGAGGAAGTGGAATGTAGAAATAATCTTTCGGGGATTTTGCAGAAATAAAGGTAAATATAATAATCAAATATAAGATGATTTATTAGTGTAAAAAGAAGGTCCAACTTATAAACATTACCATTATTTGCTGATATGTAAACCTTGATATCAGGGGAATAATTTCCTGTAACATTGGAGCAGGGAATGATAGATATTTGTTAAGGTGACGTGACTTATAGAATGAATATTATTGATAGAATCAATAATAACAAATATTGACATAAGGTAGTTTATTTTGTTCTCCTGCAAGAGGTAGGCAGTCCAGTGTCATGGCATTTCACAATTTTCAGGGATTCAACTTCCAACACATAACTATGCTTTTCCTAGGGTTGACTACTGTCCTTATAAGCTAGATGGTTGTTAGAGCTGTAGCCGTAGCATCTACTTTCCAGCTAATAGGATGGAAGAAAGACCAAGGAAGTATACCTCTTCAGTATGCTTCCCAGAAGGTGCAATGCAGTGCCAAGATTGACTGATATTTCCACATCTTTTTGCAAGAAAACCCAGGGAATATAGTCTTTTAGTTAAGTGGCATTGTGCTCAACTGAATATCAGGTAGTTTATTAGTAGAGAATAAGTAGAAAACTGTATATTGGGAGGCAAGCGGCAATCTCTAACATAGAGTTTGTGGAATTTGAAGTCACTCTGGGCTCTACCACTTTCTAATTGTGAATTTTCAAAGATTAACTAAACCTCTTTGCCAGAACAGCTTCACCCACCAAGTGAAGACAAAAATATGTCAGAGGTGTCTCTCATCCTCCCGCGCTTCTGACTGTACCCAGTGCATGTATAAACAAAACAAACAAACAAATAAATAAATCATAAATAAATAAAAAAAGTACATGCCTCTTTAAAAAAAAAAAAGCTGTTACCAATTAAGAGAACTGTTCTCTCTTTCCATTTCTAAAAAAAAAAAAAAAATATGTCAGAGGTGGTGGTGGGACTCAGTAAGACAATACAATATACCGCCCAACATAGTTTTTGGTGTGTATATTCACGCAAATTGTGAATTTATTTTCTTTATATAATTCCCTTTTGTATCTAAGTACAATAGGAAAGAGTATACCAAGAAATCAGGAAACCTTAACTCTTAAATCCTGGCTTAACCATTGTGATAGCTTGGGTAAGCCCCTCTTAAAATTTGGAAATTATTATTCTTTTTTCACTTTAGTATATGTACATTAAATGAGAAAATATGTGAAAGTGATTTGTGAGCTATAAATGGAGAATGTTTTTTTTAACTTCATCTATATGCATTGTTTACTGTTTTCTTAGACCTCTTTCTTTGTATGAAGATGGAGAATTTCTAGGCATTTGTCTATTCCTGAATGTTGCCTTTCCTGATCTGCTTTGTCTCTTTTTGTGTATATTGTTTCCAGTGTAAGGAGGAGACTAGGGACTGTCATACATTTCTGTTACTGCTAAAGTGAACCTTGATAACTATCTAGCCTCCTGCTCCTACTTTCATAGATTTCAGTCTACTGCCATGTTAATGTTGTAAAGAAAGTGGCATTTTATAATTTCAGAACACCTAAACAGTAATATTATTTTAAGTGGCATCTTAGTTAAAGTTCGAGATTGTACTGAAACTACTTACACAAGTTTCAAAGGAACAGTCTTTAATGATCACTTATTGATGAACATTGGGCTATTACCTCATTGGAGTAATGGGGCAACTGGATCAAAACACTATCGTTTGGTTGTGTCTGAGACTTCTCTGAGATTTTTATCATTCATTTATTTTCCTTACCTTTAGTAAGATCTACAGAGGAATCTTTCCTCTCCACCCAAGGGATTAGTTACTTTCCCATCCTTTTTGTTAATGCTTTTTTCCTACACTTGTCTTGTATGGCACTGGCAGATAGACCCTATTTAAAAAAATAAAAAAACAAAAAAAAGAGAGCCTCCCTTGTGGCTCAAGGGGTTAAGACACAGCCTATGACGCTGTCCGCAGTCACTGCAGCACAATTTCGATCCCTGGCCAGGAAGAAACCCACATGGCACAGCAGACCTCTCCTGACTCACCCGCTGCTCCCCTCAGCAGTGTATTTCAGCAAAATCTGCCTGTTCTGTTCCTCACTCTGTCTCTGGTGAATCCTCTTGCCCGCCACACCTCTGGCCTGTACCCCAGTTCTTGTATGCATAAATAAATCTTAAAAAAAATAAAAAAATAAAAGCACAGTGTGATAATGGCTAGGAGAGATATATATGTGTGTGCATGTATGTATACAAATATACATATATATACACATACACACACACAAATAAGATCATGTTAGACTCAAAGAATTAGGGTGACTTTAGGAGTCAGGGAAAAATTAATGAACCAGGCAAAAGCAGATATGAGAGAATACAGTGTGTTCAATAAATCAGATATGAAAAGTCTGAAAGGTAGATTTGTTTGGAGGCTTTGTTTTGTTTTTTGAAGTATTCTCAGATGTCATCATAAATGAACTGGAGATGAAGAGTAAAATTCACGTGATGTTTAGGAGGTCGAACTACTGTGGAATATGCTTGTATGAGCACGTGGATTTGTGTGTATGGTGTTTTCAGTAAGTGAAATGCAAATAAAAATGATCCCTAAGTTTTTTAATTGAATGCCTTAACTAGAATGAGTACTCCAGAGGAGCAGAATTAACTGAAAATTATATGTATGTGAAAGATAACTATCAAGATTATGTATTTTAAGGAATTGACTGATGTGATTGTGAGGCAGGCAAATTGGAAATCTGGGGCAGACTAGAAGGCTGGAAACTCGGGCAAAATTTCTATGTTACGGTCTTGATGTAGAGTTCCTTTTTTTCTGGGAAACCTTAGTGTCAGGTCTTCAACTATTACAGGAATAATCTCTCTACTCATGTCAACATCAGTGAAGTTAGATGTTAATTCCATTTACAAAATGCATTCACATCAAAAATGTAGAGAAATGTTTGACAGAACATTTAGCTATCATACCTTACCCAATTTGACACATAAAATTTAACCATCACAATGGGAGATTCAGGTGTTGAAGAAGGGGCATTATATATAAAAGGAGCTGTCAGGCATGAAGAGTTCACAGCAGGGCCTCCCTGGTGGCGCAAGGGGTTAAGACTTAATCTGTGAAGCTATTAGCAGCCACTGCAGCATGAGTTCAATCCCGTTGCCAGGAAGCTACCCACATGGCACAGCAGACCTCTCCTGACTTGCCCGCTGCTCAGCAGTGTATTTCAGTGGATCCACCTGTTCTGCTCACCACTCTGTCACTGGTGAACCCTCTCACCCCCCACACCTCGGGCCTGTACTCCAGTTCTTGTATGCATATATAAGTAAACCTTAAAAAAAAAAAAAGTCACAACAAAGGAAAATAACTGAAAGAGTGTCTAAATTTCAGATACCCATATTTGCTATCGATAAGCCTGATCCAAATCCTGTATGTCACATCCAAGAGTGAGTGATATAATTGTATTCACATCTTAGTAATTACCAAGTGGAGTAAATTCTAATTTCTATTTAAGTTGTGTGTGTGTGTGTGTTCTTTATAAGTCTTTCTGTTCTGAGTGTGTATGCTATGTCTTATCTGGAATAAAGAATTTTCCCCATAGAAAGAGTTCCTTAATATATTCAAATGGGGGCCTCCCAGGTGGCGCAGCGGTTGAGCGCTGGGTTGCGAAGCTGCCCGCGGCCTCTGCGGCGCCGGTTCGATCCCCGGCTGCTCCCCGGCCACCGAAGGAGGGTCCCACATGGCGCGCAGACCTCTCCTGCCGCCCGCTGCTCCCCTCAGCAGTGTACTTCGGTCCTTCTGCCTGCTCTGCTCCCCGCTCTGGCTCTGGTGAATTCTCTCGCCCTCCCGGCTTCTGACTGTACCCAGTGCATGTATAAACCAAACAAACAAACAAATAGATAAATAAGACATGCCTCTAGAAAATTAAAAAAAAAAAAAAAAAAAAAATATATTCAAATGGTTAATTGTGATTTTGCTTTTCCCTACCTGATTATTTACAAGGGCCTTTTTGAGAAAAATATGAACAAAGCACTTTTTTAAATGATTCCCATTTAATTATCCTTGCCTAGACTGTTGGAAAATGGCAGTGATGTTTCCTATTCTGCCTATCTAGAAGTTTGCATGGGATAATTATTTCTAAGATAAAAGTAAGTTCTCTTTGTTGACTTTTTCCTTTATTTCAAAAAAACTACTTCAGCTTTATCAGTAGCATTTATTGGTACTGATAGTTACACATTGTTTTCTTTGATAAGCTTGGGAAAATAAAGAAATAGAGGATGAGATTGATTTGCATTTACAGTGTAAAAGGAGAAACAGTATGCCCCTATGTATACGTGTATATTTGAAAATGCTTTATCTTACACTATTAGAACAAACGCTTTTCTTACAAATATTGAATAACCAAACCATTCCTTTACATGTTCAGGGAAAGGAAGAACTCTTTCAGTGAATTTAATTTAAATTTGGGCTCCTGAACTCTATAGATTTGCTAGTAATGCTTTTAACTTCTCAGCTGCTTTTTTGCTCTTTTTCCTGGATATTGCTGAATGGGAAAAGTAGATGCTTTAAAATAATAATTAGGAAAGGGGATGGCTGTGGTAGAAGCTGCTGTTCTTCCTAGGATAGGAGTTAGAGGGTGGGGAGGAGAGCAGAGTTTGGGGGTTGAAGAGACTTCACATGTATCTCGGGTATTGTTTGATTTGTCTCAGTGGAGCTCCCTGAAAAAAGTTGAATAGCCACTGTTGCAGCAGCTGGAAGGTGGCGGCAACAAGGATTGCAAGCTCCTCTTCTGTGGTAACTGGAGTGGACCGTTGAGCAGAGGAGCGGTTGTGCCCTTTCATTCCCTGCCAGTAGGGAATGCCATTAGTTTCTGGAGGTATCACTTGAAGAAGATACCAGCACCAGTAGAGCTGAGGATAGAGGATAATAAACTGTGTCATCCCTCTGAATCTTTACATGAAAAGCAAGGTGTAATACAAGAATTCCTGGAAGCTGATAAAGAAAATATATTCCACATGGCCAGCCATAACTCTGTGCAAGGGAAGATACTGTTAGGGGGAAATGATGTCCTGAGTTAATTTACCAGTCCTTGGATTCTTGCCATGCTGCTTGCTGTTGTGGGCTTTGAGGAATTACAATCATTGACATTGATGTTGGACTTCTTTAGCATAACCTCTGCTTCTTTCCTAGAATCTGCTTATGCAGGGTGAGAGCATTCCTCCAGTTCTAGATTTCAGGACCTGGCGTGAAAGGATAAGGTCCATTTATAGCAAGTAATCTCAAACAGAAAGGGGACATAATTTCTATGTTAGAACCCCAGAATCAGGAGAATTTGGGGCTTGTTAGAGAGAAAAATGAAAGGACTTAGGGATCCTAGCCTGAACCTGCAGTTCTTGGTTGCCTACCAGTGTGGAAACACACAGCCTGGACATGAGGATATCAGAGGTGCTGCTGCGAGTACAAGATGGAGTTGCTGCACAACTGCAGGATTGCAGCGTGGAGTATTTTTATTGTTTGGCTGTAATATCACTGAAAACAACCTATGTGTTCTTGCCTGGGTATTTCTTGAGAGATAATAGTATCAGAACATTCCCAATTACAGTGACTGCAACATCCCATCTTACATTGTATTGGGGACTGTTTATGTCTTACTAATCACAATGCATCTTCATGCAATGATTGATTGAATCATCATACATATGATTAGAAAGTTAAGTGGGGAGACACTGAGATGTCTTTGACTGTTGGAAACCAGTGCCACGATGTTTCCAAAATTATCCAGAACAAATATTTAAAGGTTTTTTTTTTTGTTGTTGTTGTTGTTTTAACAATTCCACACTCAAAGGAAACATCGAGATATCTACATTAGGTACATGGTGTGATTAGGTTTTTGTGGGTTGTTTTTTTTTTGGAACTAACTGTTATGTTATTAACTTGCTTCTTCTTAGGAAACTGGTCTTCAACATTTTGCTCATGATACAAATTGAACAGCATCACTATTTGTGGAAGAAAGTTCTCTTTTGAGTTTTAATAAATACATGTTTAAAAAATATCTATTTAAAGAAAAAGTACTGAGTATGTTATCCTCTGATGGAAATAAATTTTAGCAAGTGGATTTTGATTATTTAAAGTTTTTTCCCTACATTCCCAAGTAATTTTGATTAAAATTGTTCTGTAAATGACTTAAGTATTGATACTTACCTAGTAAAATATGGAATTTTCTACATACCTAAAATTATGTTTATAATTTATGTATAACAATATAAAAAGAACACTGAATTAAAAAGCTAACTACAGCACATAATTTTATAGTTTATAGTAATGGGAGAGATGGGGATATATTGTCATTGAATGCTATCTTATTTGTTTCATATTTTGAGAGATTTATGTTTTGGGGGGCAGATAAACAAAAGTAGATTATCAGATTAAAGAGTATTCATAGACAACATGTAATATAGGGAGTTTCTGTTCAGTTACCTGCAGAATTATAAAGTTGCAGTGCATTTTCCCAGTAGAAAATGCAAAATGTCAGTTTTCATACTCATAGTGTATAAAGAAATTTTAATTTGAATGAAACAGGAAAATGAGTCATCCTTTTTGTATTGTTATGTTTTATTTGTATGAAAGCCAAAAATTAGATTTCTTGATTTACCTTGTATATGTTTATTTTCTCTTCCATCTAGAAAGAGTTTACAGGAAGAAGTAATCCAAGAAAGGAAGAATAAGCAGATCAAGATGTGTAGCTCTGTGGCTGCCAAGCTGTGGTTTTTGACAGATCGTCGAATTAGGGAAGACTATCCCCAAAAAGAGATCTTACGAGCATTAAAGACTAAATGTTGTGAGGAGGAACTGGAATTTAGAGCTGTGGTAATGGATGAGCTGGTTCTAACAATTGAGCAGGGAAGCCTGGGTAAGTCTATACTAAGTGATTTTTCTTTTCTAATTTTTACTTAGAATATGGTGAACCTGTATGTTTTAGGAATAATTAGAACAAAGGAATTAATAGCTTTGTCATTACTAAGTATCATCTAATCTTAAAACCTAGTATATTTTATAGAAGAAATGGAAACACTAGTATTTTTTAAATACCTGATTGTAATGTTTAAGAAATAGACGGGAGGGGAATTTATTTTTTAAAGATTTATTTTTATTTGTCTATACATAGAAGAACTGGGGTGTAGGCCAGAGTTGCAGGGGATGAGAGGATTCACCAGAGATAGAGTGGGGAGCAGAGCAGCAGATCTGCTACTCAGTATATTTTTAAGTACTGTTTTCAGTTTCCATTTCAAATGTTTTCTAGCTCCAGTATTATTTCTGTTAATGGTGTTATCTTTTTTACCCTCTACTTGAAGCCTTAGAGTCAACCTTGCTGTTTCTCTTTTGGGATATTTTTTGATTACTAGTTACAGGTCTGTTCATATTTTCTTTTTTTTTTTTATGATTTGTTTTTACTAAGTTTTATGTTTGTAAGAATTTGTCCATTTCATCTAGGATATTCACTTTTTTAATGTTCAATTCATAATACTTATAATCATTTTTATTTCTCTTGCAATGTCCCTACTTTGTTGATTTTAGTAAGTTGAGGCTTTTTTCTTATTAATCTTTTATTGGAAGCCAACTTTCATTGATTTTGTTCTTATTTTTCTATCCCCTGTTTATTGCTAATTTTTAAGTTTCTGTCTTAGGTTTTGAGAGTGTGGTTATAATGTATTTCAGTGAGAATCAGTTTGAATTATTATTTATTTATTTTTAAAGATTTATTTTATTGTGCATACAAAAGCTGAGGTACAGGACAGAGGAGTGGGGATGGTGAGAGGAGTCACCAGAGACAGAGTGGGGAACAGAACAGGCGGACTGACTGAAATACACTGCTGAAGAGAGCAGTGGGCAAGTCAGGAGAGGTCTGCTGCACCATTTGGGTAGCTCCCTGTCCAGCCGGGGATCGAACTTGTGCTGCAGTGGCTGCAGATAGCTTGATAGGTTGAGTCTTAATCCCTTGCGCCACCAGGGAGGCTCAAGAATCAGTTCGAATTACTCTTGGAATTTATTGAACTTGGGTGTTTGTAATTTATGTCATCATCAGACTTACAAAGTTTTCATCCCAGATTTCTTAAATACAAACCAAGAAGAAATTCTGGCCAAAAGAAGTACAATAATAGAAACAAGAGACTCACTCCATGAAAGGTTGAAGAAATGCAGAGAGAGTCTAAGGGACCTGTGAAATATTATCAAGCAGACCAAGTATACACTGTGGCAGTCTATAAGGGAGGGAAGGAGGAAGGGGTGGTGGAGGAGGGAGAAAGAACATAGTTCATATGTTCTTTAAGCTAAGTAGAGATATGGACATTATACAAAAATCAAAGAAATGATTACAGTGTATAGCAATAAATATGCTAATGTTCCCTTTTCCAGTACACTGTCCATTGTGATTATTTCTATTTTAATTAGACAAAGAATGACCCAGGTTGAGTTACTTTTTGGGGGTTTTTACACTGTGGTACTGACTAAATTATTAGAATTTATAGTTATGTATTTCCTTAACTCAGAAAATACATTTTTGAGGATTCAAAGAGAAAACCTTTACTGTCTTTAATCATCAGGAAGAAATAGCTCTTATGAGATCAGCCCCTCCCCACCTTCTATTATCAAAGTAATAAAGAACCTTGATTATGTATACTCTGCATATCAAGTCAGTCTGCATTTTAGTTATTAATTCTTCAGTGAAGTACTTAAATGAGATCTTCTATGCCAGCAGCAAGTGACTATACCTGTCTTAATCAGAGTGATTGCCATCCCTTTCCAAAGTAGTTCAGCAAAGTAAAGGAATTGGATTAGTTATGCCTCTAATGCTTTGACTGTTTCAAATTTGGGATCAAACGCTCTTGGGAATGTCTGTACTTTTATATGTGATGTTGAGCATTATAGATGTGGATGTAGTTTTCTGAGTAAAAGTGTTTTTTTTTTTTAAGTTTTATTTTTATTTTTATTTATGCATGAAGAACTGGGGTATAGGTCAGAGGTGCGGAGGCAGGGGTTAGAGGATTCACCAGAGATAGAGTGGGGAGCAGAACAGGCAGATCTTCTGAAATATACTGCAGAGGGGAGCAGTGGGCAAAACAGGAGAGGTCTGTGCCATGTGTGTAGCTCCCTGGCCTGGGATTGAACTCAGCCACAGTGGCTGGTGATAGCTCGATAGCACTGAGACTTTAACCCCTGCGCCAACAGGGAGGCCAAGTAAAAGTTGTTTTGATAGACAATTGAAGGGAGGCAAATTAGGAAATGTAATGAGACAGTAATGAAATATTAAAAAAAGTCTAGTATCACTGATCCCAGTCCACTAAATGCTGTTACTAAGATAACCAAAAGCTTCCGAATACCAAATGTAGAATTGTGAGAATTAAATATTATAGTGTGGATAAAATTACTAGGGTTCTTTTCTCCCCCTACCCTTTGTTTTTTAATACTAAAATCTCATGAATCTCCTCTGAGAAATTATTTTTATTTGTCACCTTGATGTGATTCTAGGTGTCACATCAAGGAATTTCCCCCTTCCTAGTTTCCCAGAACTAACTTTCTGAGTCTGGGCTTCTCAGCATTCTCTGTACAATTTTATATCCATTCATTAGTTGTTTTTTTTTCCTGCTTAAATTAACTGGACTATTTTAGTTGCTTACAAATCAAATAACCTTAGCCAATACAGAAATTAAGCCCAGGAAGCCGATTGCAAATAGCAGACCTTCAGAGAGTTGGTTGCTTGACTGAGATAGTGCAGAAAGCAATTAGGAAACTACCTCTCTCACTCCAGAATGGGAATCTAATAACCCATGATACACAGTGTGAAACTGGTAATTAAGTAATTACCTTTATTCACTTGGAACCATGGTCTTGTTGAGAATATAGCTTTGGGAATCTGGTATGAATTGCCACAGAAAAACTGTGAGGAATTTGGAAGTAGGAAACCAGAAGGACTTCTGAAGGTGTTGGGGAACTTAAAGCAAAGGTATAAAGGAGGCTTTCAAATCTCAAGGTAAATAAAGTAATATAGGAGCTTTCCAGTATTTGGGATTAGGTCTAACCTAACCAGTAGAGTATTCCTTCAAAAAGGATTATTCCAGCTGTCAAGCTGCTTAGGAAATCAGCAAGCTAGGGACCTAGTGAAAAAAGGTTGAGCTTTAGAACTAGTTGGATGTACATAACCAGGTTGTTTTGTTTATCAAACTAAATCTTATACAATTGGTCAGACTGTCTTGACTCATTTACTTAATGGAAATGAAATCTGTTGTTAAATTGTCTCACTGAAAAGTAGGAATAAAATTTAAAAGGCCCACACTGTAATGTTGTTCATAGGATTTCTTGAGATGTATATAAAATGCCCTGGTACAGTGTATGACACATGGTAAATATTCAGTAAATGAGACAGTTATAATTGGTGACATGAAACCATGATATTCTATTGTTCATGTTCAGTGCTTTTGAAGTTGTGAAATTGGTTGATCTGATTATTCTCTGAGAGGATCCAAGTGACAAGTTATTAAAGAACAATTTAGAAAAGTGTGAGTTTAGTTACTAAGATGGGCTGGGAAAATAATAGTACTTTGTAATAAATCAAGTACCTGTTGTGTATTGTGGGGCTCAAGTTTTTGCTATTTTGTTGAAAATTTTTGCTTTTGTGTTCATCAGTGAGGTTGACTTTGGGTTTTTTATTTGTTTTTTTTGTACATTTTATCTAAATTTTCAGATTATTCAGATTGATTTCCTAAAAAAATCTTTTCATTATCATTTTAATGTTTGCAGGATATATATTAATTCTCCTTTCATTCTTGGCTTTATTTGGCCCTCTTTTTTTCTACATTAGTTTCTCCAGGAAGTTAAGAGATTTATGTTTTCTAGGGATAAACTATTAGCTTGACTGGTCTTTTCTACTTATGTTTAAATTTCTGTCTAATTAATTTCTGCTCTTTTTGATTTTCTTCCTTCTTCCTTAATATCTTTAGATAGTAAGATGATTTAATTTACCTTGGAGGTGGTGTTTTGATTTTGAGTTGACTGGTATTTTTAGGGACAGTCTACCTTGTTTTAAATCAAACCTGGATTTAAATCCCCAGCTCTACTTCTTAAAAACTGAGATAAGTTAAAATTTCAGTAAAATAGTAATAAATAATCAGTCAGTGATAACTGAGCATCCTACTATGTGCCATGTAGTGGTAGGGAATGTACCTCTAAACAAGACAGTGAGATTCCATCTCTCATGGAACTCGTTAGTTTCTAGTTACTTTACCTTTATACTTATTAAAAGCCAACACTTCTTCTTTAATGTTAAGCAAGTTAATACTTACCACAACTGTATAAAGAAATCACTCTCACTGTACTATAGATGAATAACCTGAGGCAGAGACAGTAAATAACTTGCCTGAGGTTGCACATTTGAAGTAGGATTTGGATGAGATGTGGAGTCCTTGTTATATGCCAGAGAATCTTGGAGTAGATTTACTCACTTTCTGTTTTTCCCTATATTATCTCCTCATCATTATCCTTTGCTATTTGGGGCCCAAATGAAAGGTTTGAGGAAAACTTTAATTTTACTTTCCCTGTAGTTTTCTCTGAAATGTTGAGTATTTAAATTTGATACAGTTTTCCCCCTTTGTTCTTCTTTATTTCATAACTTACGCTTATTAATATTTGTAGCTACTGAAAAACTACATAAATATTTTACAGTTATATTTTTATTTATAGCTGTATTCAGAAAGTTATAGATATATGTAGTTGTGAGAGTTAATCTTAGTTATCAAAAATTGGGTACCAAAGATTGTTATAAAAATTTGTCTTTAAGAGCCACTGTACAAAAGAAGTTTTACCCTTTTTCAAACTGGGTAGTAGGGCTCAACATTTAAACAATGTTCTGTTTGTATTAAAATGTCTCTCCCCTTCTCCCCTTTTCTACAAGGGGAAAGACTGCAGTGTATCTTTATGACTGGCTTCAGTAACAGTGACTTAAATTATACATTTTTCCACTTACAGTCTATATAGTTTTTCTTTACATTTTAGAAAATTTGTTATTTTATGGGAAGGGCCTCCGCTGCTGTGAAGATGTCTGCAGCCTCTGCAGCATGGGTTCGATTCCTAGCTGGCCAGGGAGAAACCCACATGGCATGAAAGACCTCTCTTGCCTCACCTGCTGCTCCCTCAGCAGTGTCTTCGGTCTGTCTCCCTATTCTGCTCCCTCCTCTGTCTCAGGTGAATTCTCTCACCCTCCCGTGCTTCTCACTGTACCCAAGTTCTTGTATAAATAAATAAATCTCTAAAAAAAAAGTGTAATAATTAGTATGGATATAGTAATTTCAACTTTCAGTTTTCAAATCGTTAAGATGAAAGTATTGAAAAACAAGTTTATGCTAAATTAGCAAAATAGAAGTTTATTTTCTTGCTTTTAATATTGAACCCTTATGTATCAATATTAAATAAACCAGATAAACATGATTACAGGTGGAGAACAAAAAGGGGATACATGGTTTTCCAAGCTGAATTGCTAGTAACAGTCACTCCAACACTACCTCACCATATCAACAGTTATCTTCCTGAAAACTTTTCAGGTGGGGTCAGTACTTTGATTCAAGTCTCAGCTTATCTTAAAGTAGATGCTTAGGAAATATTTTTGAATGAATAAAAGAATTATGGATAGGGCCTCCCCGGTGGCGCAGCGGTTGAGTGCTGGGTTGCAAAGCTGCCTGCAGCCTCTGCAGCGCCTGTTCGATCCCCAGCTGCTCCCCGGCCACCCGAGGAGGGTCCCACATGGTACGCAGACCTCTCCTGCCACCTGCTGCTCCCCTCAGCAGTGTACTTTGGTCCTTCTACCTGCTCTGCTCCCTGCTCTGGCTCTGGTGAATTCTCTCACCCTCCTGCTCTTCTGACTGTACCCAGTGCTTGCATAAACAAACAAACAAACAAACAAACAAATAAATAAATCTTTAAAAAAAAAGAATTATGGATAAATGAGTCACTTTCGGTATTTTGTCGTTTTGTTTATCAATTGCTTGGAAGTATTTCTCCTGAGCCTTTTTCATTTTACTATCTAGATATAGAAAAGCTGAAGGTGTAGAACTTGAATGTTAGTATATATAAAGTATAAGGAGACAAACTGACTATTTTACCTAGTGGAATCATATTTCTTACCTTTAAGTAAATCTTTTCCCCTTTTGACCAATTTTGGGGATAGTTGGTTATTTTGACTGTATCTTTTGACAATACTTACAAAAGAAGCTAGCTGGTCTCTACCTTCAAAAAAGATGCTTTTAAAATTGTCAGCCATAATCCAATTGTTTACTTACTTGCTTTCTATTTTCCTCATTTCTTTTTTTCTTTTCTCTTCTCTCTCTTTAAACATGTGACTGTCAACTGCAATTTGGCAGAGCTCAGTGATAATGAGGTACACTGTTAGAGTCTTCCCTTTTGTTTCTTTCTATAGTGCAAATGGGGGAGTTGGGAAATGAATTTTATTTATTTTTTGTCATTCCCAAAAGAGCATACTTTTGAAGAAAAAAATATTGTTTCTATCTAATAGCTAAGACTTGAAAACTGTTGGGGGGGGGAAGGATTGCCGAGGATATTAAACATTTATTTTGATAGGAAATACAGTATATCTTGTCAGAAGGAGCTAAGCAGATAGATAAAGGCATATATATTAAAAGAATGGATTCTTAACTTTTTAAAAATATCATTCATAATCAGCCTTATAAAGACTTTTTTTTAGTGTTTTTCATTTGGAGATGTTACTAGCCATCTTCCTGTCACTTCACCTCTAAAATACTTCAGTGTTTTCCAAATATAATCCTATGCTTTTTGATGTGTTTGTCCTATATAATCCAGTACAAGTAGCATACCTAAGAAAATGAGTAATGCTTTAATGTCATCTGATACGTACTCTAGAGTCAGATTTTCAGTTGATCCTAAAAGGATTTCTTTTCAATTCAGGCTCTGTTTAGGCTCATGCGTTGTGTTTGGATATACTGTTTAATCTTTAAACTCTAGAACAACTTTCATTTCCTCAGTGACATCAACTTTTTGAAGTAATCAGAGCAATTCTTTATCATCTTAATAAGCTCCTGGATTTGTCTGATAATTTTTGTGTGAAAATGATACTTCAGGGCCTCCCCGGTGGCGCAGCGGTTGAGTGCTGGGTTGCAAAGCTGCCCGCAGCCTCTGCAGTGCCGGTTCAATCCCCGGCTGCTCCCCGGCCACCGGAGGAGGGTCCCACATGGCATGCAGACCTCTCCTGCCGTCCGCTGCTCCCCTCAGCAGTGTACTTCAGTCCTTCTGCCTGCTCTGCTCCCTGCTCTGGCTCTGGTGAATTCTCTCACCCTCCTGCGCTTCTGACTGTACCCAGTGCTTGTATAAATAAATAAATAAATCTAAAAAAAAAATTAAAAAAAAAAAAAAGAAAATGGTACTTCATAGGTAATGGTTGATGCTTCATTGTGCATGTAGCCAAGAGGCACAAATGGGGGTCTGTTCCACTTTCATTGATGGATTAGACAGCTGGGAAAGAGTTTTTGTATTATCTGTTGCAATGATTTTTAACTTTTTCTTTCATGCCTTCAGCATTCTGATGATCTTTGCTAGGTTCATTCATTTCATTGGGATTGGCAAAGTAGTTTTTGTTAATTTTGCCATTCTTTCTGTGTTAATTGGCATTCTTTTCCAAAGAAGGGGTTTTCCTACTTTTAAACTATATTTAGATCCTCCTGAGAAAGTGGGATAAATATAATTTTTCCTCTTTATTTATTGGGGATTTATGTTGTAATCCCACCAGAGGGGCAAGTGGGACTTTGGTCCCCTTTTGCCCTAATCATTATGGATTCATGAATTTAGAATTAGTTGTTATCAATTAATTATCCTTTCAGAAGTAAAAATCCTTGATCGTCTCCTGTGTTCTAGTAACATATTCCCATTTGTCTTTGAGTGTCTAATTTTGACAGAGATTTGTGTGTTTTTCATTGTGTACAGCCCCTTGACTTGAAACCTGTGTTGAAAATTCATAAAAATCAGTAAGTTTTTAAAAGATCCCAGAAGTCTTGAAAAATCCTCTAGAATACTAGAAGATGGAAGAAAAACAATTACCACCGAACAAGGAACCTATCAGTTCTCTGTATCTTGTTTCCTGAGGACAAAAACATTTGTACTTACTGTTATTTCATTGAAGCTCCTTGCTCTCTTACTCTGTCTTGAATGTAAATCTTACTGGGTAAAGAATTCCGGGATGGACCATAGTCCCTTGTGCTCTTCCTAAGCCTCCTGTTTTGATCCCTCTCTCTCTCCCTCCCCTGCAGAATGTCTCTGATTTTTAGTTGCCTGCTAGTTTTGTTTATTATTTTTCTTATCCTTTATTTGGGTCCTCTGTATTCCTCCTATAAGTGAAACCATCAATATTTTTCTTTTTCCTTCTGACTTATTTTCACTGAGCATAATCCCTTCCAGCTTCATTTTACCAGGACTACACCTGAGAGAAGAAATGAAACATTGTACAAAAATGAACAATGATGTAAAATATGTATATATTTATATATATACTATTTATATATATATAAAGATATTTTTTAAAAAGAATTCTGGGCTGAGAGTCTTTAAGTACTTTCAGTCTCTTTGTGCTTATAATATTTCCATTGAAAAGTTCATTGACAATCTGGTGTGCCCTTATGTTTACCCTTTCTTCTGTTGACATTTTTAATATTCTGTCCTTGTTGTTGGTTCTCAATAGCTTTAATTGTTTTTTGTTGTGTGTCTGGTATTATTTTGTTTGGAACTCTTTGGGCCTCTTGATCACATTCCCAGATTGAGATGGTTTTCAGTGATTATGTCTTTAAATAAATTTTCTATGCCTTTCTTTTCTTCTTGTGAGGAAACCCACCCCCCCATGATACAGACATTATTTCTCTTTAAGTTGTTCCAGAGGGCTCTTACGCTACTTCCATTTTTAAAAAAAATTCTGCACTGTTCTATTTGTGTGTTCTTGCTTGTTAATTTTCTCTGTACCTTTTGTTTGTCTGCTATTAAAGTCCTCAGTCTTTTTTTTTTTTTTTTTTTACATTAGCTACAGTGTTTCTTAGCACCATTATTTCTAATTGTAGTGGCTTTATATTTTCTTAGTTGAGTATCTGGTGAGATGAACCTTGAATCTTCACTCTGTAGCCATCTTGCTGGACCCCATGACATTTTTTTCACTGGCTGTGTAGTACTTAATTTTATTGACATGTAGCCTAACATTTAACCAGTTTTTCATACAAAGTAATTTAATGAGGGAAAAATGTCTCTCTGTTCCAATTGGAGGTTTACAAAATAGTATACTTAGTTTTGTGACTCAAGCTATGATCAATTTCTATTCCTCCATTTTATTGTATATTCCCTTTTAAAGATTCTGGCTTCCTGCCTATGTATTTCAGGTCTACGGATCAATGGAGAACTAATTACTGCCTACCCCCAGGTGGTGGTAGTGAGAGTACCAACCCCTTGGGTGCAGAGTGATAGTGACATCACTGTTTTGCGCCATCTAGAGAAAATGGGATGTCGGTTGATGAACCGACCTCAAGCCATCCTGAATTGTGTTAATAAGTTTTGGACATTTCAAGAGTTGGCTGGCCATGGTGTTCCTCTTCCAGATACTTTTTCTTATGGTAAGTTCATTAAAAAGAGTATATAGCTTAAGTTTTTTACTGCACACATGGTTTTGAAAGATATACTGTACTAATAGGTTTATGTAGTATAAGATTTCCTAAAGAACTGATTATGGAAATGACTAAGTTTTAGCAAAATAAGCAGGAGTATTACAAATCTGTCTTAAGATTTTTATTACACGGGCAGAATGGAATTAGCAAACCTTTCCTGTAAAGGTCCAAGGAGTAAATATTTTAGACTTCCCAGGTCATACATTCTTATGTGACCCTGGGTAGTCCTCTGAAAACTGATTTAGATAATGTTTAACAAGTGAGTGTATCTTTGTTCCAATAGATCTATTATAGAAGGAGACAGTGACCAAATCTGTCCCATCGTCCTTAGTCTGTGTATCCCTGAAGTAAAAGATAATAGAATTTGATGACATCTTTAATTTCTTATATTTATTACCATTTTCCTGATATTTTATCTTTGTTTTCCTGTTTTTAAGGAAAATGACTCTATACTAGGTATACTTTAAAGTAGTGCTTCTAAAACTTTGTGGTAATTTTTCCCCCCCAGGACTAATCTGCTGTGTTTTAGTACTCTTAAGTACAATAAAAAGAGTATAGCTGTGCTAATTGCTGTAAAAGCCTCTGTGTTTATTATTCTTTTTATGTTTAGATAATTACATATCAATGGCAAAGAAGTTAAAAACAGATAGCAGGTTACTGGACCACACTTTAAGTAACACTGCAGTAAGCGATATTATGTTAATATATTTCCTGCCTTTCCAGTTCTTCTAGTTTGGAAAGGATCTGACTTTTCTTTAAATCTGTTTCTGAAATGTCTGGTAGAATGCTTGGAGAGTTAACCCTGGGCTTCAAAAAGAAGTCTCTATGCTTTTCTTATTTTTACTGTTTCACCCAAGTCTGTATGACATATATGGATATAATTACTGTCTTTAGTATTGTAAAATTATAGACTATAGTAATAGTTTGAGAATTGTGTCTTCCTTATACTTTTGGGATATTAAGCTGATATCATGGACCTTCAATTCTGATTTTAAAAGACTAGAAAGGAGAAAAGGATTAACCAAAATAACAAATATTTTCTATGCACCTAATATTGAAGATTTAAAGTTTGGGGACTGAATCTTAATTTCTCTAAGATACAGGTTTATGATATTACAGTTATTTAATGAACTTTTTCATGGTATAATTCATTATTTGTTCTACTCTTACTATCTTATTAGTTCTGAGGCAATGAATACAATAAGAAACAGGACTTAATCCATGACTACTGAGTAATTCAGTGTAGAAAAGACTGATTAATAATGGAGGTTAATATTGAAGGGAAGGAGAGGAGGAGGAGGAGTCAGGGAGGGCAGGGTGGGAATGAGGGATAGATTGCAGCATCTTTCAGTCTTAAATGAGTTCTTCTATTTTTTTAATCCAGACAGGTAATTTGCAAAAAGTAAATCATGGGACTTTTTTTGTGTGAGGAAGGAATAGGGATAAAAATATGAAAAAAAAGGCATAGAATTAGGAATTTTGTTTTAGTTATCCAGTTTAAAATTTACTTAACTGATAATATAACTGTACTTTCAACTTTTATTTATTTCTCCAAGAAAAACAAAATTTAACCATTAGGTTCTTACCTTCTACTTCTCCCACGTTTCTCTGTTATGTTGATAAAATTTAGCACAAAACACGTTTCTTGCTGTTACTAAATTACTCCTTGTTGCTCAAACCAGGTGGTCATGAAAATTTTGCTAAAATGATTGATGAGGCAGAAGTACTGGAGTTCCCAATGGTAGTGAAGAATACACGGGGTCATCGAGGTGTGTATGAGTTGTTGCTATAGTATATAATTTTGAAATTACTCTTGAATTACTTATAAGTGTGTTATACAAAATAATTTTTTTCGTTGTTTCTCTTCTATTTACCTATAACTATTGACTGGATAGTAGTCTTGTTTCCTGTTGAAATTTTTCACTTTTGAAACAGGACCTCTGAAAATAATTGGAGGGAAATTGTTAGGTACATGTTACCACACCTTAGATAGGTTACTATCTATCAGTTGTTTAGTTTTACTGGGGGCTATTTCTGGTCATTTAGTGATTATTCTAGAGATTTTAAGATACCTATTTAATTTAGGCTGAGTCTGAAGTTACTGTCTTTATCTTCATCCTCAATAATTCAAGGACTATAGAATACTAACTCCAGTCTGTCTCCCCACCTTAGTTTAGATAGTTTGAAGACTTAATGATTAAGGCAAAACTATGAAGCTTTAGAAGACAGTATGTCTCACCAACTCACTGACACTCACTTACTGACAAATACCTCAATCACTTTGGGTTAAGGGAAGATTTCTTAAAGCGTGAAATGATTCCGAAACTGAAAAATTTCTTAGGGTTTAGTACTTTGCCATACAGGGGTTGTTGGATCAGGGTTTAGCTGGGACTGCTCACTGCATCACTATTACTAGGCTTCTACAGTCTGGCAGCCAAGGAGTCTTGGGTCTCCATGCTGAATGCTTTAATAAACAAGAAGCTGCATGACTTCCTATGATCTTGCCTCAGAAGTCAAGTAGTAGATTCAGTGACACGAGACAGATCCCTCTTGTCTTCATAGGAAGAATATCAAAAGATTTATAACCATGACTCAAAATAGACACTTCAATTGGCATGAAAATAGATAAGCAGTGCAATGGAACAGATCATAGAATTCATAAATAGAAGTATGCAGTAATAAACTATTTTACTATATACTAATATAGTATTAATATACGTATTATAACGTGTAAGGTATATGTTTTAACTCGGGTGTGTTTTGCTAATACGTTAGTCTGACATTATTGGCTGTCTGGGGAGTAATAAAGATGTAAATCCTCTACTTCACATTTTGGACAATGAAATAAATTTTAGATTGCTGTTAAGTTTCTGGATTGAGGGAGTGGTAGAAGATTAGTAATTGTCTTAGTGCATTTTTGCATTGTCTCACAATTATCATAGCTGTATTACTTTTTAAAAAGTAATTGGTTCTGAAAGAGCAAATTGGTATGTAAGAAAATGGAGGTAATAGATACCATCTGCCAGCAGTTTGATGACTTACGTATTTTTTTCTTTTTCAATCACAGGGAAAGCTGTATTCTTGGCCCGAGATAAGCACCACTTGGCTGATCTAAGCCATCTTATTCGTCATGAAGCTCCATACTTGTTCCAGAAGTATGTTAAAGAGTCTCATGGACGGGATGTACGTGTCATTGTTGTGGGAGGCCGTGTGGTTGGCACCATGTTACGTTGTTCAACAGATGGGAGGATGCAAAGCAACTGCTCACTAGGTAAAAACAATGCAGATATCATCATCTCTCTAGTATAAGTAACATTACAACTTGTCTAGTGAGTATTCATGTGTAACTTCTGATCTTTTTCCTTAGTCAGTTGAGAAGCTTACTATCTTTCACATTCCGTATGATTAATAGACTTACTATTAAAATAATAAATGTATTTTTGAGTTGTTTATTCTATTAATGAAATTGGATTTCTCTGAATCATAAATTTGCTTTCATCCAGGCTCAGTGACTAAAACAACTCACACATGTATAAACTATCTGAACAGAGCTAAGTGTCTGATCTCTTTTGTGGTATACTTATTTTGTGTATAATTGTAACTCATTTAATTTGTGCCCTAACCCATTTTACTCATTGGTTCAAATGAGATTGTTTATTTATTTATTTAAATGTGTTTCTGAGATACCTTAATGTTCACGTACCTTAGTCATATAAGATATATGACATCGAAGATACAGTTTAGTCTAGATTTTCTACATTTATTTCACTTTCTTAGTAATCTTACCTAGTTCATGGCTTTAATACTGCCCATATGTTATTTTCAATTTAATGTCAAGCATATTTATCCTTTTGTATTCTCTGCTTAATTTTTAATTGAAGAAATTTCTCTCTACCCCATGGTCATATTCTACTCTTCTACAAATTTTTTAAGTTTTGCTTATCATGTTTAGGTCGTTAATCTACCTGAAATTGATATTGTTCAATAAGAGATAGACATTCTTTTTTTTCTTTTCCCAAATGAATAAGTGGTTATAGCATCACAATTTATTGAAGAGTCTGTTTGTTATCGATTTGTCATGCTGTCTTTTCTATATATTGAATTTCTATCTCTGCATGGGCTTTTTTTAGAGCCTTGTGGTGATTTTTCCTGTATGAATATCAATCTTAATTCCCCTGGTAGTATCCCTGGATATCTGATAGAATCCCTCTGGCTTCATCATAATGTGACATCTTTGGATTACCTTCACTTTCCCCTGTTATCCCTTGTTTCCTCTTTCTTCCATTAATATTAGAACAGTTTGACTTTTCCTTGTTGATTCATTCCTTAGTGAATATTTTTGAGCAACTCCTATTTGTTACTGTTAAATGTAAGTGGTGGTATTACAGCAGTATTTTGTATATAGTAGTGAAGAAAACAGACAAAAATCTTTTCGTGATACTCTCATGGGTATCACATTTCATTTAATAGTTTTTATTCAAGTCTGTATTGGCATTTCTCTTATTGGATATCTATTCTGTTTCACCAATCTGTATATAGCTCTTAACATTGTACATTCCCAGGTAGTCTTGATCCAATTCAGAGTTAATTATACTATACAGCAATCATCAACTCACCACTGTTTACTTCCCATTATCATCTCCCCATATCTTGAAGTCTCTGTTTTTAGTCATTTGCTGTTATGTTGGTATCTTTTCTTGATTAATTTCCTTGGATGGGTATGTGAGTGATAGATACCGTCACATAGTCTTTCGTTTTGGGAGGAGAATAATATATTGGTTGAAATAGGATTCTTAGTAAGAATGTAGTTTTGGTTATACTGTCTTTTAGGTTACATTGTTGCAGCTGAATTTCCAAATTTACTCTCTGATTCTGGGGGGAGAGGGAGAGGTAATTTATTCTCTTTTGAGTTGTTTCTTTTATCCCAATTAGTTCAAATTGAATTTGGTAAGCTGTTTCTATCAGCAGACTTTTTTTTTTTTTTAGTTTTAGAAAAATATCTTCTGTAATTGTTACTCCTCCATCTGTTAGTACCTTTTCTGGAGATTTTTTTTTTCCCCCTCATTCAATCCTCCACATTTGTTTCTTTTGTGATTTTTACCTCAAGTTTTCTGTGTATGCACTTTTAAATATTTCTTACACTTGATTTGCCAAGTGATGAGCTAGATCCCCCCAAATGATTATATTTTCCTTTATTTCCTCTATTGAAGTTCTTTGTTGGAAAAATCTTATTTTTTGTCTTAACTTCAGAAAATCTTTTTGGGCTAAACTTGAATCTCCTAAAACTACTCTTACTTCTTTCATTCAGGTTGTCGGTGGCTTGTTGTTTTATCAGTGTTCTGCTCTAGATATTTGGAACACTCCAGATGACTTCAATCTCACAGATGCTGACAAGCAGTCTTTTAACTCTTAGGCAAGTCTATGAGTCCACTCCTAAAGTACTTAAACACTCCCTTATTCTTGTGCTCCCTAATTCTTCTAGCTATAGTGGTAAGGTAGACTCTGTCTTCTTTGGGATCAGAGACATCAGGCACACTCACAATAATGCTGATGTCAACTTAACGCTTATGGATAAACAGAGCCCAAGAGCCAAACTATTCTCAAAATTCTTTGCTTTCTAGTCTTATCTCAGTTTCCTGAAGCAGGTGTCCCAAAGGAGGAAATCTACTTCTAATAGCTTTCTCAGATATCAGCAAAGCCCAAGACTTCATCTTTATTCAGCCCCAGTTACTTAAGCCCCAGAATCCTTTTGCTTAGCAACTTTAGATAGATTGGAGTGGGTACTGTACAGTAAGAGTCATATTCAAGTCACCATGTTCCACAGTTCCATCCTCTATCGTTTAATGCATATCTATTATTTTTGGAAATTAACAATGTTAATATTTTTGTCATATGTAACAAAGTTTTTTATGTATTATGCAAGAGTTTCTTATGCTTAGTTCATGTTATTACAAGTAAAATAGGCTAGTGAAAGTTTAATGTCTTCTTCAGAAAAACATTATATTGAAAAAGTACTGGGTCATCAATTGAGAGGCTGGGCTAGAAGGAGGCTCCTTAATGTAGCAAGCTTTGATTTCAAAGCTTTTTACATTAGAGTAGTAACTGTGTTTTTACTACTCATTTAGAAGAGAGCATGAGTCTTTAATGCTAGCTTTAGTTTTATTCCCCAAATTTATCATTTTGGTAACTTACCTTCTCTTTTTCCAGGTGGTGTGGGGATGATGTGCTCATTGAGTGAACAAGGGAAGCAGCTAGCTATCCAGGTGTCTAACATCCTCGGGATGGATGTGTGTGGCATAGACCTGTTGATGAAAGATGACGGCTCCTTCTGTGTCTGCGAAGCAAATGCAAATGTAGGTTTCATCGCCTTTGATAAGGCTTGTAATCTAGATGTAGCTGGTATCATAGCGGACTATGCCGCCTCCCTTCTGCCCTCTGGCCGGCTCACTCGGCGTATGTCCCTGCTCTCCGTGGTGTCCACGGCCAGTGAGACTAGTGAGCCGGAGCTGGGCCCCCCAGCCAGCACTGCTGTTGACAACATGAGCGCAAGCTCCAGCTCTGTTGACAGCGACCCTGAAAGCACGGAGCGAGAGCTGCTCACCAAGCTCCCAGGGGGGCTATTCAACATGAACCAACTGATAGCCAATGAAATCAAACTCCTGGTGGAGTGACTCCACTGGTAAATAATTAACCAACAAAACCCTTGTAAAACTTCCTTTCTTTTTCTTTCTTTTCTTTCTTTCCCTCTCCTCCCCTCCCCCCTTTTTTAAAACCAACTTGCAATGCTGTTCATGGAAGATGCTCAGGAAGATGAGAGAAAATTGAATGCGATTAGTTAGAGAGGAGGGGACTAAGGACTAGACCGCTGCTATTAGAATGTTACTGACTTTCTTTACAAATCCCACAGAGAGAGAGGCAGAAGAGGAGATGTTACACTCTCCTAGTTACCCTTTTAAATTATTCAAAATACGTATGCTCTCAGGCCATGAAGAACATATAAATTTTTTCATAGTTCCTTTTATTTTTGCATAGTTGGTTCACATTTCAGCATGGCATGATTTCACATTGTGTTTCAAACATCTATCTAAATTACAGGAATTTTTTAAATACAAATCTGAAAATTTTGCTATTACCATTACTAGGAGCTTTATGTTCATAGTTTATGAAAACTTGAGGAGCTCTTTTATTTAGATTTCTTATTTTTGTTTTTTCCCTTAATTTGGGTGGGAGGGCAAGGTGAATATGAACAAATAAAGGCTTTTTAAATGACAAAATTGGCATGTTTGCATGATAAAAGGGAAATGAACAGTATTGCAATGTCTGGTACACAAAATAACCTTTACTCCAATGTAGATAAAATTACACTAGTTTAAAATATGTACATTGACTTGTATTTGTTAGTGTTTTAGTCTTTTTTGAAAGATACATGCTCTGTTAATGTTGCATTTTTTTTAAATACATGCTAGTCTAACATTCCCTGATCTATGCCTGCATATTTAACAATGGCCAAAGTGAAGAAAATGCTACCTTTTTGTTAACAAGACACTGACTTGAAACATGTGCATTTAGAGCCTTTTATTTTTTCCTTTTTTCTTTTGGTGGTTGGGCATTTAAAGAATGAGGACAAGGAAAAATATTTTTGGGGTGGGGCGAATCAAGGGCCTATAAACTGAGGTGATTTCTAATACCAGCGTTATATATTTGCATTTTTCACATTTTACGAGGGAGTATATATGTGTGTGTGCACGCATGCATGTGTATGTGTTTTGCTTTTGTTTACACCAATCAATCAAAAAGGATAGATTCTAGAAAATGGAGCATGATGGGAAACACAGTTTTTCAGTTGTTTTCATAACTATATTCTACTGGGGTAGAGGTACTCACATAAGGAGAATAGATGTTGTTAGGTCTTTGTGTGTGTGTATGTGTATATAGATATATACACATATATATGTTCAGTTTTTTTTCTTCAGTCTAGACTGTTCAGTGTATGATTTATTCAAGGCTACATGCTTTTTTCCAATGCTTCTGGCTGTGTATTTTCTCCTATTACACATAGGTTTTTGGGTGGGGTGGAATGGAGATTTTTGTTTGGGGACTTATTTAGCAGTATTGAGTCTCTTAACAGCCCTACTCTGAAGCCTTCACTACGCTCCACTCTTTATATTCCTTTGCTTTCTGAATTTATAAAAGCCCCCAAACTGCATATAATATGAGCCTTTAAAACATGGGTAAAACTATTCCACTGATGGGTTTGGAAGGTGTTGAGAAATGGAGATGCTGCAGAGCTCAACGTAATTTTTTAAACAGCAAGTTTCATCTCCCTACAATCCTCTGAAGCTTTTACCCAAGTCCTTTCTTGCCTCTCCAGTGCTTTTTTCCTTCAGATGGACCTTAAACACAATTTCTTGGACACTGCTAGAGAGACTTCAAGGCAATAATAAACATCAGTATTAACCAGCTTTTACAGAGGTTTGATCATGCTTACTTGTACAGTTTTCCCCCTATTTTAAAAAGGAATGTAATAAAATTTGTTTTTTCCATAGCATTAAATAATATTAAAGTTGAGTTAAAGGTTGATTGTTGACAAATAGAATAGTACCTCTAATCTGTGTAGTGTCTCATTTCACTCAGAAAAAAGATATGTAAGAGGAGTTTCTAATTTATTTTAGGACGTTCTAATTGCATCTAAAACAATTGACTTGCCAAAGGGTTATTATGGGACTCACATATATATAAGTCCCTCTGATTCATTAAGAGAAAGAAATAATTGGTACTTCTTTAACTGAGTGACCATACTTTGGAGGATGCATACCAGTTGGGATAGAGAAACAAATGAGGAAGAACTGCTAAAGTAAATCATATGTTTGTATAGAGACCATCTGGTTGACACATAAAGTATGATATGTACACTTTGAATAGTTACATATCACATGTATATAGATTAATGAGTTTTAAAACACAAATAGATCACCCTCTCTATACTAGATGAAAAACTCAAGGTTTGTGTTGGATGGGATAAGATGTCAGGAAAAAAGGTAGAGTCTTCCAAAAAAATTTACCAGATTAGCCAACTATACAAGAAAATCTGAAAGATTTCACCTTAAGTTTATTCAATATTTATTCATCTTTTGTGCACTCACACATTTTAAACACATAGTATTGCCAGTCTATTTCTGAATCGTACACTCATAGAATGCAAAGGGCAGGAATGGTCATCTTAGACTTTAAAACATGAATATCTTCTTGAATTCCTTCAAAAATTAAGGTTAAAGAATATGAACATCATTCTGGAAGAACCCAATTGAAAGAGATCACATATTTAAGTGAAAAGCTAAATATATTTTCATATTGTTTAATAGTTTTTGTGTAATCTGAGAGGTTAAAGTGTGTTTATTAAATATGTATAATCATTATAATGCCAAAATATGAATGTAAAATTATTGTGTATTGTAAGAGTTGTAATTCTGGACTGTATTTTTTAAAGTAATCCTTTCTGATTCTATTTTTATGTTGCCCATGATCTCTCACTCATGCACACGCACACGCATGCACGCACCAAATGATTTCATTTAAAATTTTTAATAGTTTTTTTTCTTTTTTGGTGTGTATAATTGATTGGTTATTTCTGCTGGCTTTTACTCCACTGAACTTTGAAATCTTTCTGTATATGCTATCAATAAGAAAATTCCCTGGAACATTAGAAAAATCCATCAAGAGACTTACTTTCATCAAGCACTTTATCAGACTTTTGAGAAGGCATCAAATCGTTGAAAGAAGTTACTGACTTTCAAAATCATCTCCTTTTTCTCAAGAAGAAAACAATGGAAAAGCAAATTCTCTTCATTCATTGAATCCCCAGTTTGGGGCCTGGGGAGCTTAGAGACATTGTGAAATCAAATCTTGTGTTACATTTTTCTCCTGGCTCACTCTTTTTGAGAAGGTTTATGGGCTATATGGCTGGTGAGACACGATCCCCTCCTAAGAAAATGTAGGTGCTCAGACAGGTAACCTCTGCTGCTACTGTTTTTATTTGTTTGTTTGTTTGTTTAATTTCATTTAAAATTTGTTTTTGTTGTAATAGGATATTTTTAAATGTAATATATTGCAGGATTTATAACCAGGTTCACTGCTTTCTTTCTTTCTTTTTTTTTCTTAAAAAAAAAAAAAAACAAAAAAACAAAGTTTCATTTAAGATACATTTAGGCGCCTTTGAAGCTTGGATTTTGGAATGTTTCAGTAGTGGACAGAAATCTGCTGTTGGAATCTTCTAGTCTTCCAGGTTTAATTTGAAATGTTTTTAGTTTTGTTTTGGATTTTTTGTGTGGTATTTTATTTCCTTTATACCAATGCCCTTTTGCCATGCTGTTTTGGGGTGGTTGCCTAACTCTAGTGAAAAATTCTTTCTATATTAACAAAATTTGGTGTTTTTAATTCCTTAATGTTTTGCAATTTTAAAATTGTTTTGAAAGAAATATTCTAACTGCTTGCACTGTTACTGTTCTTTGCCAGCCTTTTCAGGAGCCAAAAAACCAAAACAAACAAACAAAAAAATACCCAGAGAAAAAACTTTCCTTCTTCCCCCTTCCTGCTGATGAGTGAGAAGTATTGAGAACTTTCGGGGTCAGTGCCCTTCTAAACTCCCCTTCCCCCAATAATGCAGCTGTATATTGAGTGGTAAATGGCAGCGGTTTGGATTCAGGCACAACCCCAGCCTGCCTGCAGGTAATTTGACTCTCCTTTTCATCACAAGGCTAACTTTACTTTTTTAAACATTTCCTTTCTATTTGTACTTCAAAGGCACCATGGGTTTATAATAACTCATTTTTAAAATAGTGCATAAATATATCTAGCAATTTGATTAAACAAAGAAGTTATGGGGGTAGAGTTTGAATTGGTTGGGATGAACTCAGGCATTTCTTTGGGAATTTGCGTTAGCCATTTAGATAACTCCATTCCTTGCATATATGTCTATAATGAAGTATTTCAGAGTGTGACTTTTGGCTTTGTTTTTGTTTTGGGTTTGTTTGTTTCTTCCATTGTGCTACTCTGGCTTAAGCTTTTTCAGGGGTTGGTGTTCCGAATACACAGTGAGCTCACAGTATAAAGACATCAATTAGGAATTGACAGGTATGGAAAACTAGTGTTTTGCAAAGGTAAAATTAGGTATTAGGTTATACATTTGGTAAAAACGCTCCATAGCATCCAGTTGACCTTAGTGCTTCTCTTTCTGTGGCACCATTATAAAAGTGAAAGGCAATGAATTTATTTTAGGAACAGTGTGATTTCAGAGCTACTCATTCTAGCGTTCCTGAGACACTAGTTCTAATAAAGAGATAGTTGTGGGCAGTTTGAGATGATCATTAAATAATGGTTTAAACATTCAAGAATCATAGGTTTATATAGATTGGAGGGCATTTCTGAAGCACAGTATGGTTAAACAGATTAACCAAGGCCATAAAACAAAGCCAGTGATAGGAGCAAGAATACTCCTTAGCCATTGTTAATAGCCTGCTCATGCATCAACAGTTCCCTCCTCTGTCTTCCCCATTCCACTTACCCTTTCCTCCTTTTCCCTATCTTTCCTAAAGCTTTAGCTGTAACAGTAATTATTTTGAGGGATTACCTTCTTTTTAAGTGAAAGTGGTCAGGATTTTTTCAAGATGCATTTTTGCGTAATTCTGTGACTTTAGATGTCTATTCAGTAAATCACTGACTAGTGAAAAGGAAATGCTAACTTGTAATGCACTTTCTACAGCTGAAGGCATGAAATAAATCATTAAGCTGTTTTGTGCTTCATTTCAGTCATAAATAGGGACAATTACACTTTATGTCACTCATAAAAAGGGACAAATCACTAAGCATCTTAAGACAAAAATATCTTCCTATTGATTTGAACTGAAAATTTCTGGCAGAGGAATCCCAACTACACTCCTGCAGGAGTTTATGATGTATAGACTTGTTTAGGAGAACCTTGTTCTCTTGCTAATAAGAATGTCCAGCATTACACTATGTGGACTCCTATGATTTTTATGGGACATACAAGATTTAATTCTGCTGCCCTCATGAAGATCACTGACTTGTTAAAAATGATCTGCTTTCAGATTTTAATGTATTCAAATTTATTGGAGGGGCCATATGTAGCATATATACCTGGCTGCTTTTGTGGGGTTTGGGAACATGAGGGGTGGGGTGAATTGTTGTTGTTTTAGGTTTCAGTCAGACAGACATTCCTGTGCCCCAGTTCCCAGAAGCACAGCAGGCCTCTAGGAGCATCCGTGGGAACGGCGCAGTCCTGACATCACCAACTCTCCTGCTCAGGCTCATCCCATATACAGAGGTCAAAGGGTGGGGTTTGAGATCGGGGGAAGGAATGAGCAAGTAGAAACAATGTCACTGCAGTGCCACTGTTCACTAACCTATGGTGTTTTTGTCAGTGTGTGTTTAATTTTTTAAATTGTCAAAATTAGACATTTTTTTTCGGGGTAAAGGTAGTGGGAGGATGGAGCAAAAACAAGCCATTATTATTTACTAGTTCATTATTGAGTACTATTCTTTATTAGTTAACACAGACAAAATTTGCAGCCTAGACCCCAATGACAAGCAAAGTGGAAATATAAATAAATCTTAGGATTTGAACAAACAGATAACATTTATGTGGTGTTAATTTCTAGTTCTATAACTGCTATTACATTTGTCGCTGTCTTCCTTTTTCGCCCTAATTTTTCTCTGTATGTATATAGTTTTAGGAAATGTTCATTTTGTGGTCAGTCCTTCTAAAAGGAATTTATGATGAATCTATTACTCTTGAAAAAAATATCCGCAGTGCTTAAATGGGCATACAAATGCTACCCTATTTTAAATGTAGGTGGCGTATGTGTTCGTGTTTTAATGTATTCAGAGCCATTGGGCAATAAGCAGTCCAGAACATTGAAAACTCAAGCAGGTAAAGCACCTAACACCCTTAGTTTCTAGAATTATTTTGAAAAACTTTATTGCTGCATCTTCCACAATTTTTTGGTAGTCTCTGACTTTAAGATTTGCAGGAGTTGCAGACTACCTAGTTAAAATTTAAAGTCATGCATTCATTTGTAAGGCTGTAGGGATAGTTAAAGGAGGAAAATATAATGGAAAGGAAATGGCTCCTTGAGATGGCAACTGCTTGGTGTCTAAATTCACTTTTAAAAAAAGTTTTTTTTTATTTTCCCAGCTTAGCATGACCATTGATCATACATTGTTTGATTTTCTGTGGCTGGGATTTTTGTTGTTTGACTTTTGGAGGGGAGGTCTTGGGGAAAAAATGAGGAAGTTGGTACATATGTGAAAATATGAAATATTGAAGGAGGGTTTTTTTGTTAATCTGAATAGTAAGCAAGAGCTTTTTCTATATGCCCTTCTGCTGCAGCAGAGAAATAAACTGGTAGGTGGCAGCAGAAGAAGGAATTCTTCAGATTGATGGCTGCTGACAAACCATTGAAGAAAGAGAACATGATGCAACAAGTGAAGAGAAGGGGGCAAAAATGGAAATAGGACTTAAGACTCCTGGATTTTGACTCTAAAGTGTAAGTTATTTTCAACTAAGAATGCATTTTTGATCTAAGTGAATGGTGTATAGTCATAAATGCCTAAAGGTCCTTGTACTAGTGAATTTGTCCTAGTTATTGCCCTATCCTTCTTTACTTTAGAAGAAAAAAATTTAGAAATATGTAAAGTTTGGGGATTCTCCCAGTTTAATTGAGGTATAATTGATTGATATAAGTATCTAACCTGGTGATTTGATATACATTGTGTAAGGATTCAGCCCATTGAATTATTAACACATCCAATATATGAACCTTAGTGATAGTGAGAATTACTGTATTTTATAAGCCTGATTTTCAAAAAATCTGCAAAAGAAATATGTGCATTGTTAACCTTTTGATGAAAAATGGGAGTACTGGGGGATAACAAGAGAATTGTATAGTTTGAAAAAATTATGGAGTAAAAATGATTTTTTATTTAACTGGTTATCTTCTATCTAGTCCCATTTACTTGTACTGTGTGTGCCCATCAATTCTACTGATTCATCTTTCTCTTTTCTTTTTTCATCCTTCTTCCTCTTTCTTTGGTTGTGCTTCTCCCTCCCTGTCTTTGTATCTCTCTCACCTCAGTCTATGTGCTTCTCTCTTGTTTAGTTCCTCTGAAGTTTGCTTTTCCAGTATTGACATTTATCACTGCCTGACTCTTTTTCTGTATTTCCTCCTTTTTCATTTGCCTTCTCTGTGCCTATCTCTGCTGGGGTAAACAGCTTCATTTCCTTTGCATCGGCATCTGCCTTCAGACATGTGAATCAGACCTGTGTGATTCTCCACATTTTAGAATTTGATGAGATGGACCAGTGGAAATTGAATGATATGTCTAAGTCCTTAGAATACAAGAATATAAATTTGGGTTGATTTATGTAAAATATAAATTGTTTCTACTAACTTTGAGGAAAATAAATGGGTGTCTAGCTGAAATAGATAACAAAACTAATGCATAAGCTAAAAAAAAAAAAAAACCCAATTAAAAAAATGGTATTTGCAACATCTTGATGAAGTAGAGACTATTGTACCTATAATCTTATATCTTGACTCTTTATCCACTAGACAGAGTTTGGAGTAGGTCAAATAAATATGGGAAATAAGGTTAAATATCTTCCAAGTAAGAATCAGAGGACACCTTTTTCTGTTAAAGTCACTAATATAAAGTGTGGTAATAGTGAGGGAAAAAAAAAGTTTGTGATTTTTTTTTTTGGTAACCTGAACAGTAAAGAATATTTAAATTTGTGATTTAAACTGAGTTGTTTGTGTCTTCTCACCTCCCAGGTTCTTTTGAAGTAACCAGCGATCCTTTTTGATTATTACCTCGTCACAGAATGGATGAAGATACATTTGACTGTATGTTTTTTCAAATGGAGTGTAGAAGTACAAAGAACACAGAAGCAATAACTCTAAATTGTTGTGATTTGATGTTTTTTAAAATAAAAATACTAGAACTGAAAGTGAAGTAGCAGGGAATGTGATTTGTTCTTTTGTCAGCTGACATCCCTCCCCTTCTCCTGACTTTATTTCCTCGAGGGAATCACTGCTAACTTCCTTTTTTTGGGCATATATTTCCATATTTTCTAAAAATAAGCTCTCTTTTAACCCAATCATTTTATAAACAGTTTCCATAGTTTCATGGTATATTGACTTCATGGTATATTGACTTCGAGCTATATAGGTATATAGCTACTTCAATTTCTTAAAGCAGTCACATAGAAGTCTCTTATTTGCTTCTACTGTAATTTAATTCCTTGACTTATTTACACGAATCATCCCAGTTTTCTTGCAAGAATTTTTTCACATGCAGTCAGAGATTTCTAATACAAGAAAAAAGACTGGGGACTCCCTGGTGGCACAGGGGGTTAAGTCTCAGCACTATAAAGCTATTGGCAGCCATTGCAGCATGAGTTTGATCTTTGGCCTGGGAGCTAACCAATATGTTGCAGCAGACCTCTCCTGCCTTTCCCACTGCTCTTCTCAGCAGTGTATT